AAAAAAAAAAAAACTTGTATCCAATTGTCACCTTAGTTTGAAAACACGAAGAACAATTATATGTAAAGCATCCTATGAAACAATGAGAGTATGTATGACAGTGAGTATGGCATACAAGTAACAGAAACTCAACAATAAGAATATAAGAATAAAATCTGCAACCTGACCTGAATTAGAATGACAAGAGAAACGAAATTTGAACCCGAACAATTCGTATTCCTTAACACAGACTCACAGGCATATATTTCGCTTAAACGAAGGCGCGAAGTGAATATAGAACTAACCATCAAACGAAATATTACAAAGCTGAGAGAGAGGGGGGAGAGAGAGGGGAGAGAGAGAGAGAGAGAGAGAGAGAGGGAGATACCAGAGACGAAGAGATTGGTGGAGGGTTCAGCCGGAGGAGCCTTGTCGACTGTAGCCTTGGGCAGATCAAAGGGGAAACTTGAGAAAGAAGAGTACAAGCCCCTTAATCCCCTTCCCATACGCAAATTGGCAGAAATCGCCGCCGCCGTCGCCGCCGCTCTCATCGCCATTTCTAGGTTTCTTCAGCTGGCGTCGGTGGTGGGTTTAAGAGAGATTTCCAGATTCAGGAAATGTCAAATGGGTTTAAACCTTCCAAATTATGTACTTTTATTAATTTTTCTGGGCTTGGGCTTCTTGATCTTTGTCGGCCCAGATCATCATCTCTCTGATGATAATTTTTAGGCGAGCACTTTACCCTCCTTTTCCGCCTCTCGTCCTTCACTTTTTGACTAAATAAAATTACTAAATAAAATAAGTCGCATCTCTATATCTATATTTGCCTCTCTCTTCTCTATCTCTAGTATACTATTTATATGAACGAGTTTGAAGTATCATCGGGTTCAAACGTGGGGATTTATGTAGTTACTAAAATGTCCCTCATTTATTTGTTTTCTTGTTGATATAAAACGGGATCATATATTTTTTCGACGAGAGGTATCCTCATATTCATCTGAGGTCTCACCAACCATTCTTAAGCTACGTCGCCCAGCTCCCCTCGAGATACGGGCCATCAGTAGGTCGGCCCAACCAAGCTAGGGGATCCACACCAAGAAAGGCAGGACAAATCCCCCAGGGTGCCTTATCTGTACTTATCACGGCAGTCAGCATCGATCCCCTAATCTCATAAACAACGAAGATTATTCGTGCGCCTGGGGCCAAAACGGGGTGATATTCATCAAGTCTTTCCATAATTTACTTTACTTGCTTCCTTCATGTGTTCAGTAAAACTAACTGATAAGCTAATTGTTAACTAACTGTTAACTGATAAATTAGTTGATAACTTATAAGTGAATTTCAAACTTATAACTAATAGCTTATGACTTATGTCTAAAAAGCTAGTTGATATGATAAAAAGATTTAGTAAAATTATTTGATAAGCCAGCTAAAATAAAAAATTCAACTGAAATTTTTTATCAAATACGGTGCTAATTCCATATTTAAAATTTTTAAATATTATTTATTGATCATTTTTAATTTGTAAATATTAATGAATATTTATTAGCCGTGCATTGAGATTCACATTCATAGTTTCATACTAGTTTTTGCTTAACAAAGAAAAAGTAGCATTTTTGCAAATTCCTCACTTAAAAGTACTTGAAACTTGACTAGAGAAGCTTGAGGACAGATGACAATCTCCATAATTCTCAGCAAAACAACAACCAAAATATCCTTGGGACAACAACACATAAAAAACTGAAGACAAATTGAAAGCAAGAGCAACAAATTCTGACCAAGTCCCCACTCCTCCTCCTTCACTTGTCTGCCTTGGCAGCAGTGGCGGCAGCCTGACCTCGGAGACGACCTGTCCTCCTGGCGGCAATGAGACCCACCTTCTGCCCTGGCGGCGCATCACGGCGCACAGTGCTGGCATGGCCAATGTGCTGGTGGTTACCACCACCATGAGGATGCTCAACAGGGTTCATAGCCACACCACGCACCTTGGGCCATGAGTTCCTCTTCACTCTGAACTTGTGATAGGCATTTCCGGCTTTCAGCATCGGCTTCTCAGTACGCCCACCGCCGGCAACTTGGCCAACCATGGCACGGCAGCCGCTGGGCACTATTTTCTTTGCTCCTGATGGGAGCTTCACCCTGCACGTAAACCAATAATGTATATCACCACAATTATTAACATGTTTTTGTTGCTTGGTACAAGCAAATTTAACGCATAATCAAATCCTTGAATGTTGAATCTACAAGTGAAAATCAAATGGTGTATTATCACAGGTTTGTTGTATAAATGTCACCACATATCAATTTTGTATCCTCAACAGACACCAAAGAATAATACAAGTCGGACACCAAAGAATAAGACAAGTCGGGGTCATATGCCATCAACATTATGAAAACGATTTGGTTATACCTAGCCAAGTAATTGAATAGCTTCAAAAGTTAATCATGCAAGTCACTAATAACATTTCAGCTAACGATTCTATCTCAAATTGTTAATAACTGGAACTGATCAAATTGAAGAATCTGTGAAAAAATTAAACACATTTATACTAAAATAACTTACTTCTTGGACAAAAACTAACTGAAGAACATAGAAAGATGTAACGACAATAAAGGACTTATAAGCTAATCATAGTTTATTCCTGCAAAAAATTAGGTCACAAAGATCGGGTAGCTACAAAATGTTACACAGCAATTGACAAAAACGATAAGTAGCTGCGAATATTAAGCATGGGCTCTGTACTGCGCTTAATTCAAAAACACAAAGCGCACACAAACAAATAAATAAACAGCAAAATTAAAGTGAAAAACACAACATAACCACAACAAAGAAAAATACCTGAATCAGATAATATCTATTTCACATCCAAAGAATTTCAATTAAATCAATTGACAGAGCTACAGACAGATTACCTAGTAGTGTCATTATCGGGGTTGTGGGAGATAACAATAGCGTAATCACCAGAAGCCCTAGCGAAAACTCCACGATCACCCACATGATGCTCGACGTTGCAGACGACGGCACCCTCGGGAATAGATCTGAGCGGCAGGACATTTCCAACGACTAAATTTGCCTTCTTGCCACAGTAGACGAACTGGCCGGTGTACATGCCCTCGGCGGCGACAAACAGCTCCTTCTGATGCTGGAAACGGAAAGGGTGGCGGAAAACGACGCGGGCAAGCGGCGCTCCACGGCCGGGGTCGTGGATGATCTCGGTGACGACGCCCTTGAGGTAACCGTTGCGCTCGCCGAAGTCGAGGGAACGGAATCGGGCCGGGCCCTTGCGGTGGTGGGTGTGGGACTTGAAAACGGACCCAGCTCCCTTACGCTGTGCACGGATTACACGACCCATCGCGGAGGGTGCTGTGTGTGAGAGTGTGTGACTGTACTATGGGGACGGCGCACCGGTATGTATGTTGAAATGGTGGAGAGCATCGAAATTAGGGTTTTGTAAAGCTTAATAATATCGCCTTTCGGTTTTTGGGCTATGGCCCAAATTGAAAACTGATCAAAGGCCCAACCTCTTCGTCCAAAAGACTATCAACGAATAGGGTAATTTGATGTTTTGAAATAAATATTAATTTTTTTAAATAAATATCTATTTTTTGCAATAGTTGAATATTTATTCTGCCCTTTCGCCGTAAGAAAAAAAAAATCCCTCAGCCGTGGGCCCCCTTTCTTCCGCTGCAGCAACCTAGTCACATCCCTCGGATGGCCGAGATAGGAGACGCTCTGCCCGCCCCGCCTGCTGCCCTTCGGTGGGCAAAGATTGGCACCGACTCTTGTCCTGCCGCCCTCCCAGCCAGGTTTGGGCCGCCGCTTTGTCGTTCCGTCTCCGATCTTGTGCCGGTCGGAGGTCGACCGCTTGGCCTCTCGTTCGTTAGATCCCTCCAGATAGGCAGCTCACGGTCCGAGTGCTTGATTTTGGTCTCTTACGGCGTTCCCCCGTTTGGCATCTTCGAGAGCCCAGATCTGGACTGAGGTGCCTTCTAGCCATTGTTTTAGTAGGAGTTTTGAGCATAATTCTGAAAACCGAACCGGTAAAGCTACTGGTTCAATGGTTCACTGGTTGGACCATCGGTCGAACCGTTTTAATTAATATATAATTTTTTATTTATTTTATATGTATCTATATATATATAATTGCTAGCTAAGCAATAAATTTTACCTAATAAATAAAACCTAATAAATTTTACCTATGTGGCAAATCAGTAATAAAACCTAATAAATAGAACCTAATAAATTTTATTTATGTGGCATTAATACACCCAATCTCATTAATAAGAAAATATTTCATTACATTTTTTGGGTTAATTAAGACAAAAATCATTATGTTTTATGTTAATTGATTAATAATTATATTTTTTTATTGAATAATATAATAGTTAATATTAAAATTAGTAATTATATTTTATACTAAATAATATATGAAAGTTACATAAAATTATATTTTACACTAAAATCAGTATTTTTTATATGATGAAGATGTTTATTAATAAATTAATTTTTTTTTTGTTATAGTAAAATTTCTTAAAATCACATAAGCAATTGTTATAATAAATGTAATATTTTTCAGCTAATTAATTGGTTATTATCACTCAAAATTATAAAAAGTATATATTTATTGCATTTTATGCATTCAATATAGTGATTCGTATACAATCAAATCGTGTGTACTATTTATTTTAACCAATGATCAAATTTTAAAATATAATACTATTATATAATTTATAATTTTAATATTATATACATAAATATACTTATAATACTATATGTTTGAAATATAATACAATTGTATAACTTATAATTTTTATATTATATACATAAATATAACTTATAATATTTAATTTTATTTACATGTGTGCAAATGCACAAGGTCGAATACTAGTAATATATAATTATATATATTTTTATCATTAATTTTATAGTGTATGATATTTATCTAAGAATTCAATAATAGATCCACTGACAATGTTGAATAATGTTGTTAAGTTTTTTCTTATTTTATTTTTATATTTAAAGTTTTAATCTATATTTAAGTTACAAAATAGAGAGAATAAAAAGAACCCAAATTTTATTTTAAATCACATTTTAAATTTTTTATTATTGATTAAAAAATAAAAAATAAATATAATGTGCATAACGAACAACAATAAATTGCTTTCTTAAAAAAAATGAGAATAGATATAGCCCAATAGATAATCCAATTCAAAAAACAATACATTTTTCTAATGAGTACAATTTTGCTTGTTAGGCTCAATATTGGCCCAAGGAAACATATCTCACATAGGACATACAAGTAAAAAAAGTGTGCTATTTAAACCACTTCACAATCTACCAATTTCAAATTCATAAGCTTGAACCTGTGAACCATTTGAACCGGTCACGGTTCATCGGGTCAACCGGTTTTGGACCAGTTCAAACGTTTCTTGACCGATTCTCTCGCTAAGCGGTTTGATGGCTCAAATCAGACCGAAACGAAGGTCGGTTCCCGGTCCAACCGGTTGAACCGACCGGGCAGACCCGGTTTTCAAAACAATGGTTTTGAGTGCTGGGGTCGATTTATGTTGCTTTTGTGGTGATGCTTGTGGGGTTGGTTTGTTGCGGGTTTGGCTTGTGTGTTGGGCTGAAGTTTTGTTGCAGGTTTCTCGTGTGGATTAGGGGAGGCAATACTTTTAGTTATTTTAGGAGTGTTTGTGCGTGTTTTGTTAGTTTTTGTGTTATTCTCCTTGTTGGAGTTAGCTATTCTCCCATGTGGGAGTGTTAGTTTTTGTTTTTGTTGGGATTGGGTTCCCAGCTAGCCGGGTTCAGCTTCAGAAAACGCTACCGGGGTGCATGAACCTTATTCCTGTGGTCTGTGTTGTTTGTCTAGGGTGCCGTGTCGGCATACCTCCTGAATCCGCCTTCTTGGTGGATTCGTTGGGTTAGGTAGTCCCCCCGAGTCACTCATTGTAAATTCACCTTTTGAGGTATAAAATCTATTGTTCGATAAAAAAAGAGAGAATATTTATTTCATATTTACCTTATTTTGATTTTGATAGGAATTTTAAAGGACATAATTATCTTTTAATAACTGATCAGTTTTTTGAAATTGAATAACGGTTCTAATTTTTTAGGCGGTTTTTAAAATCTTCTTTTTTGTGTGTGTGTAAAATCACTTCTTTAGGGGTTGCTTGGATACAAGTTGTTGATTTGATATTTTGGTTTTGATTGATATTTTATTTTAACCACGATTAATTTTCAAAAAAGTTGATAGTGTTAGGTTTGAGTGGTAATTTGAATTTGTATTAAAATAATTAAAATTGATTTGACGTAAAAGTAGAAGATTTGTGATTGGAAGTTACAAGTAGTTCAAATTATGTAAGTGGATGATAGTTAATTAAAGTTGATTTGATGTGTGACGATGATTGATTGATATTATTCAATTATTTTGATAATATTAAGGAGAGTACAAATGAATTAGAGTTTGAGTTAAAAAAAGTGATTGATTAAAAGTAAATGAAAATTGATACACCCTCTTAGTTTTTAATTCTCCATACACATTGTAACACACTAGATGCTCTTCTTTGTCGTGCCGGTGCATAAAGAGGACTTTTTTTTAAGTCGCCCCCCAAATCCTTCTCCATTTCAGTGGTGTTTTTTAAGCATGAAAAATGATTCCTTGACTTTGAAATCATGGGCTCGTAGGAACTTGAGTAGGATGACATTACTCATGTCATCACTTAGCAGGAGCACCCCCAAATCAATACTTGTTCGGACTGGTTGGCGTGTTCGGAGATGGAACCGCCGCTAAAGATGTCATTTTTAAGCGATTCTTGAACTAGGAGTAAGCAATCCGGTGATGCGATGTCTGTTGAAACTGAAGGAGGAGAGGACGTTACTGCATTTTTTGGAGCTTTTGGATAAATTGTGTGTTTTGTGGTATGAGAATGGTGATGATGAGGCGGAAGACGGTTAGGGTTCTTACCACATTTTCATTTTCATTTCATTTTTTTGTTTCTTTTTTCTTTTTACCCAATTGTGATTCATATTATTATTTCTGTTATGTTCAGATTATTTTAAATTATACTTATTTTTTATTTTTTTTTTTAAGATAACTCACTATTTTTTAAAGTTGATTGATTTTATTTATATTGAGATGGCGGTCTTGCGTAATATTGTTGTTTGTTGTGTTATTGTAGGTTTATGTCAAGTTATCATTTTTCTGTTTTGTGCTGATTTTTACAATTTTTGTGTCATTTGTGTTGTTTTTTTTTTTCATTTATTTTCAAGAGGAAAATGTTATGAGAGCGGGGATGATTTTCCAAGAAGTTTGTCTGAGGAGCTAAGGATGGATATCCACAAGTCTTCCTGCAAGGCCCCTCCGATTACCAAATTGAAGTGAAACCTATTTTTGCTAAAGGTATGAGGGTGGAATTCAGAAATGGTTTAACAACCAAGATCCAAGACTTTAACTGGTTACCCATGCAGAGCTGATGGAGATTGCTAGGGGACACTTGATATGGGTGAAGGATTTGATGGAAGAAGGGGAAGCTCATTGGAATGAATGGATGATCAAGAAAATGTTTGATGAAAGAGATAGTCAGGCAAGTTTAAAGATTATGACCTTAAATCTTGATCTTACAGATAAATGGAATTGGGGACTTGACAAAAAAAAGCTAATTCTTAGTCTCAACATCTTATGCCCATTTGATAGAACAAAAAGTCCAAAAGTTGGACTTACCAGAAAGTAGCAGATCAAGGGAATTGACCAAAAGGTTAGAAACAGAAGTTGGGCTTTGAGAATAAAAGGGATGCTGACACATTTTATTTGGAAGTGTTTCACAGGAACTCTGCCAATGAAAATGAATCTGAAGAAAAGAAGGGTGGAGATAGATTCCATCTGCCATAGCTGTGGGAAAAATATTGAAACCATTAAACATGTTTTTTTCAATGTAACAAGTCAAAACAAACTTGGGCAATGGGACCTGTCAATTGGGATTGGATCAATTCCTCAAATAAATCTTTCAAATCATGGTGGTGGCAAGTATGTTTGATTGATAAGTCTGAGATAGTTGAGACAAAGATACAACTGACAATATATATACTGTGGTTGCTGTGGAAATCTCAGAATTTATGGCTCTTTCAACAAGAGAAGATTCTAATCCATAAGATACGGAAGATTGCTATTAGTGAATGAAAGGAGTTTACTGTAGTGAGGCAGTGAGCTTTAGCTGTGTTTATTTCTGTTGCTGTGCTTTTTGTTGCTAGCTTTTCTTTTCTTGCAATGATTAGCAGTCTTATCTTAGTTGTTTAGAGTTCTGTTCTTCGTGGAAGACAATGGATCCTGTGGTATCCTGCCTTAGCTTCTGTGAAGTAGGTGTTTAGACCTCCTTTGGAGTGTTCTCCCTTGTTGTCGTTTTTTAGTTTGTGAGTTTGTGGCTCGACTCGTTAACTTAACGAACTTATAATCGAGTTCGAGCTTGGCTTGTTTATCAATATTAACGAGTCAAAATCGAGTCAGATTACAGTAAAATAGATAAAAGTAATATTTTCGAGCCTTAATAAGTCGAACTCGAACAAAACGAGTTTTAAAGGAGCTCGAGCTCGGCTCGTTTGAGCACACGAGCAGCTCGTAGAATTAACAACTATGTATATTTATGTGATAAATATGATAAAATATAATATTATTAAGACTTTAGGGTATAAATTTATATATAAATAATTTATTTGTTTTATATAATGTAAAGTAATTTAAATATAGTTTAAAATTTCATAAAATTATTTACTTGGTTTAATAATTAACTCGGTAAGTTGACGGTCGGAGCGTGACTCAATGACTAGAAATCTAGCCCGGATCAATTATCGGTTCGAGTTTTAAAACTATGTAAAATATGACGAATTATTAACGTAATAACAAGGTGGAAAAAAAAGATTATCATAAATTCAGTGCCTATATTATATATATTTGTATAGATATAGATAGATGGAGAAAGAAAAAAATAGAAAAACAAAAAAATAGTTATATGCGGTAGCGTTCTGCATTCTGAAGAATAAAAAGGTCTACAATTTCTGTGCATCAAATCCATTACAGTCTGCAAAACCCTGTTCGATTCCTAAGTTCTACTTACCCAAATCATAATCTATACACACAAACGTGTGCAAATTGGACATGAAACGAGGTTATCAAGAGTTCCCATCCTCGAGTTCGTATGGACCCCCTCGCTCCAAACTCAAGCCCAACCCTGAAGGTAGGTGCTTTAATCGTTATTCATACGATTAGAGAATTAGGTTATGCGGATAATTGGCTTATTTTCTTGAACTGTTATAAAGGGCTTTTAATTGGTGCCTTTATTGAGCTAAATTAGAGTAGGAAGAAATCAGTGCGTCGTTTTATTGCATTAGCTTT